ATAGGAACGTAAAATGGTGTAGCAGAGGTGTACAGCAACATGCAGCTCCTCAAAAACTGAACATGTATCCACAGGTGATACCGACGCAAGAGAAATAAAACAGAGACATGAAGAGGTATCAGGACACTCACGTTTGGTAGCATCATCCGCAAGAGCAAAAAGCTTGGTTGGAGCATCAGTCTCAGAAAGACCCCTGTGCCCAGATATTTTGGTTCTGTTGCTCTCCTTGTGGAGTTCCTGTCCTCTCTAGGTCTTACCAATTCCATCTTCTTTCATATGATTCCCTGCACTCTGCCCAAAGTTTGGTTATGAGTCTCAGCATCTGCTTTGATACACTGCTGGGTAGAGTCTTTCAGAGACCCTCTGTGGTAGGCTCCTGTCCTGTTTCTTGTTTTCTCCTTCTTCCAATGTCTATCCCATTTGTCTAAGTGAGGACTGATCATCTTACCCAGGATCCTCCTTCTTGTTTAGCTTCCACAGTTGAAAGATTTTAGTATGTTTATCCTATCTTATAGGTCTAGTATCCACTTATAAGTGAGTATATACTGTGTGTGTCTTTCTGCTTCTGGGATACCTTACTCAGGATGATCTTTTCTAGATCCCACTATTCGCCTGCAAATTTCATGATCCATTTATGGATATAACCTAGAACCCCTGCTCAGATGTAGCCCATGGCAGCTCAGTATCCAAGTGGGTTCCCTAGTAAGGGGAACAGGGACTGTCTCTGACATGAACTCAGTGGCTGGCTCTTTGACCCCCCCCCCAACCCCCCGAGGGAGGAGCAGCCTTGCCAAGCCACAGAGGAAGACAATGCAGCCAGTCCTGATGAGACCTGATAAGCTAGGGTCAGATGGAAGGGGGGGAAGACTTCCCCTATCAGTAGACTTGGAATGAGGTATGGGAGGAGAAGAGGAAGGAAGGATGGGAATGGGAGGGAATTAGGGAGGGGGTTATAGCTGGGACACAAAGCTAATAAAATGTAATAAATGTAAAAAATAAAAATTTAATTGAAAAAAAAAAAGAGCAAAAAGCCGGAAGCATTTCCAGTGTCCATCACTAGCCAACAGGAAAATACAGTGTTTAGATAGTAAAATGGAGACTCATTCAGCCTTAACATGGGAAGATATTTTGATACATACTACAATATGGATGAACCCTGATGACATACTAGGCGAAACTAGCTGAAGGACAACTATTACATAATTTTACACATATGAGGTTTCTCAATTTCATTCACAGGAAGAGGCTAGGTGAGGGTAGAGAGTATGACATAGTTTTACTGGGGAAAACGAAAAGTTCTGGAGTAGGCTGAGCACAGTAGTACAGACCTATAATCCCCTATAATCACTGACAAGGCTATGGCAGGAGAACTGAATGTGAGGTTAGCTTAGGCTATAGAGTAAAACCTGTCTGAAAAAAAAAAAAAAAAAAAAGCTTTAGACATGGTTGTACAATAGTGTGAATGTACTGGCTGCCCCTGATTTTTACATTTAAAATTGGCTGAAATGCTAATTTAATGTTGTGCACATTTTATCTCCCAAATAAAAGGGTAGAGTGAAAAAGATGAGAAAGCTTTCTCTGAAGCAGTTGTGGTGATATTTGCCTACAACCCTCAGTGCTTGGGAAACTGATGCAGAAGGATTTTGAGTTCAGTATAAGCTTGGGAATTGATAAGAGTTCCATTAAGAAAGTGCAAGTATTACAAAGGCCGATAAGTGTATGGAGGTGGTGTGGCTGTGGCAGAAGGAGTACTGATTTTGTTTTCAGTTAGGATCTTTTTGTGACCATATTTAGATCTATTTCACTGGATGAATATAGTCATAAACCTTAGTTCTAAAAGTTAGTTAAATCTTAGTATATACAAACAAAGCCCAGATTAGGCAAAGAGAAAAATCTTCAAGTCCTGATTTATGATCCATTCTCCTTAAGAAAATTTAAAACCATACAATTTACACACTAACAAGACAATTGCCACTAGACCTGAGCAGCATACCAAACCTTGGCAGAGTGAAGAAAATTCAGGTGTGATGCCTGTGTTCAAGAAACAGCCAGTGGGGACACCGCCTTTCTGAGATCATTGTAGTCAGACAACTATCCCAAGAGTGCTTAGTACAATTCTAAGCTTCTGGACTCTACGAACTGATATGAAGACCATCAAAAATTATCCAGGGCTCTGCCACTTATGACTCTGACCCTCCTGCTTCTCTATGAAGCTTCCAGCAAGACACCTCTGGATGCCTATGCACCTAACTGGAGAGCTATGGATCAAAAGTTGAAAGTAAGCCAAAGACATTAAACATAGATCTTTCCCCTATTGCTTAGAATGATGAAAACCACATCAGTTATCAAGGGGCTCCATGCTCAGAGGCATGGAAGAAAACAGTATAAAATTAAAATTTAGCTAGCTGTAGTGGTGTACGCAGCACTTGGGAGGCTGAGGCAGGTGGATCTCTGTAAATCTGAACCCAGCCTAAGCTATATAGTGAGTTTTAGGTCAGTCAGGGCTACAAAGTAAGATCCTGTCTAAAAACAAACAAACAAACAAACAAACAAACAAACAAGAGTTTATATGGCTGGCTCCCTTTTGGTAAAGGACTATGTCTAAAAGTTAACAGGCCTGACTGGCTGGATGTCCATGTGGCATGTAACTTGTTTAAAGAGCCTAACTGCAGAAAGCCATTTCCAGTCCATTTGATACACTTATTTTGACACAAAAAAAGACTGCTGTAAAATTAGCGTGTCCCAAAGCCTGATGAAGTTCCACACAATTCTTGGTTTTAGATTCCAATAAAGGATTACAGGTTACCTTGGTGCATTAATCAGAATCCACTTACATTTTTGACAATGGGACTTGGGCCAACTGGATGAAGAGTGATTACTTCTGCCAACTAGCAACTGTTGTGAATAAATGCATCTTAAGAAAAGCAGAGTAGGATCCTGGGAATGCTGAAAGGGTACAGTAAAGTGAGCAATCCTTTCAGATGCCAACTTTCTAAGTTTAATCAGACTAGTAAAAAGTGCTACTAAGTTCTTAGAGCTCTGTGGGTCACTCCCCAGAGTTAACAAAGGATTGCCTTGTTGACAAAGTATATTATTCACTGTCACTTCCACAAGAACTCCTGGAAGAATATGTTTTAAAGTTGTATTAAAGATTCCACCAGGTTTTCCTCTTGAGAGGGTATATTGAAAGAAAAACAAACACCAATCTCTTTGAAAGGGGTGTGAACTACTTGAAAACATGTATTTATGCTTATAATGAGGTGCATTCTAAAGACGTATGATTTTATATTAGTAGTGACTCTGGCTATGTCTAAGACCTGAAAAAGATTTCATTAAAGCTGCAAAGCCCAAGTACAATTTCATCCCACAGCAGAGAGTTAAGACATTAACTATGTCAGAGACATCATCAACACTGATTAAAACAAAAAGTGCTGAGGTCTAATATCGCCTCTAAAACTACACTACTGGGTAAGACCTGTGTTTTGTTTTTTCTTTTTGTTTGTTTGTTTGGCGTTCCTTCCTGTTCTGGTAGCATTCTATACTTTCTAGTTACATGACCATGACCATTAAAAAAGCTATCTACTAGATAAAATAAACCATATATACCAAAATGCAAAGACAACAACCATCTATAAATACTTTAGAGTGTTCTACAGCATGTGGCTGTGTCCACATGCCCTGGAATGTGAGAAATAGCCAGTGTCATCTCTGACTCCATTTACAATGATGGGACTCTTAGCTGGGTATGGTGGTGTGTGCTCATAGTCTCAGCTACTGGGGAAGCCAAGGTGGAAAGATCACCTGAATCTTTGAGTTTGAGACCAGTCTGGGCAACACAGTGAGTACCCACCTCAACCCCCAAACACACACCTACAACAAAAAAGGAGACTTTGAAACTAGCATATTTTTAAGCCTCAAACGAAAAGACATGAAGTGTTAAAATGATATGGAAATGCAGTTTGTGGAATAAATAAAAAGAAAAGCTTGCAAGACTAATTCAGAATATTAATTTAAAGATGTCCAGTTCCTCTATTTTATTTCAAAATCTTGACAGAGATGTTCAAGCCATAACATCTAAGTGACAGCGTTCATTAAAGCTCACTGCTTAAGAGCCACTGCTAACACTTCTTCCCCACCAGAGCCTTTGTTTCCAAGATAACATTCTGCAACATCCTGATGAAGCTGAGAGAATAAGGATGCTAAAAATAACATTATGTACTCAAACCTCATAGGCCATGTTGTCCTTGCCTGATTGGAGATTGGCAATTTTTTTTCACTTTATGCAATTTAGTATTTTCATGTCAACAGAATACAATCTATACTTGACTTTACAAGTGATTTTCTATTCTTGGTTAACTACTTCATGACCCATATCACTTTCTAGAAAGGCCAGTAGAAAACAGCAGGTCAGTATCATTGACAATGACCAAAATGCAGGGTGCCTTATTAGCAATCAGTTATGGGACCCAGTAAAGGCTCAGCTCAAATGACTCTGAGGAAGTGAAAACTAAAGACGAGAGTTGGAAAGGATAAGGAGGATGGGGAAGAACAGAAGGAAGAAAAAAGAAAGGAGGAGAGGTGGTAGTTGTTTTAAGAAAGTGAGAATGTCTTTAATTTGTACATACTGACTAAGAGCATCCCAGAATTTCAAGTTTGTCTGTGCAAGGCTAAAAGCACAGGCCTATGTGTACATTTGACTACAATTCAGTGCAGAGCTAGCTTCTTTTCTTTTGTAGTCATGTGCCTTGTTGCAATACTTTTTTTTATTTGTAAGGGGTTTTATGCGAGAGTACTGAGAATGACGGAAGCATCAAACAACCAACTTAAACACTTGATGTTAGATGTATTAACTAAATGAAACTGTTTCTAAGAGCACCGCAGATGGAAAACTTACAAATTCCCAAGAGAAAGCACAAGTAAACGAAAGCCAAAGAAAGTAGAAGGCAAACCACTAACTGAAAGACACCACTACTTAAGTGAATAGAAACTTGGTACTATACTTTGGTTTTGCATTTTTGTATTCTTCAGTGTCCGTGTCCTCGTCCTCTGAGTACCAATTATCTCCTCTTCCTCCAGCCAAGAGGCCCCTGGCCGCCAACAGTCCTGCAGCGTTCCCATAGCCAGTGTATTTCAGCAGACTGTCCACTGCGAAAACACAACAGGGTTTTAGCCAGGGATCCTAAGGTTCTCACCACCACCACCCACTTACCGGCAGAGGAGTTGGGTATAGCTGCCATGGCAGGAACCCTTGGAGAGGTATGCAAGCACAGAGTGGTCAGGCTGACCTACGTATAAACGCTTCTACTTAAAACAAAGACTAGTCCTGTTTTTCCGTATCAGGAATTCTGAAATTACTCTTTTATACACACTCTGGCAAATATGGGGCCTCTTTGCCCCTATTTCTAAGATTCTGACTCTAATCTTGTTTTTTAACACTAAAGATGATGAAAGTCAGATTGAACTTTTGCATGTGTGGCATGAACAACCTTAACTTTTTTTTTAATCCTTAAAGGGATTGGAAGAAAAATATATATGAAAATAATAACATATAAGGATATTAGCTATCACTTAGCAGGGCAGGGAAGGCTGGGTAAAATATTTTGTATCTCTACCCCAGTTTTCTGATCTGTAGAAATGGAATCAGAACTGCCTAACCTCACAAATTAATATCATTGAGCTTTTTAGAAGAGTATGTGGCAAAAGTAAGCTCTCATTATTTTCCCTTTTGGTGTATACTACATAAAACCATTATGTTAGAACACTCACAGGCACTCTCACAGACAAACACACACACACACAGGCATAGACATAAACAGACTCAGACATAGACACACACAGAGATACAGGCACAGACACACACACACACACACACACACACACACACACACGGGGTGGGGTGGCAGGAAGGGAGGGGAGGAGAGTGAGGCATTCAGTACAGGGCACAAGTCTTTGGTAACTATTGCCTGCTGTCAGAATGATATCCTTTATATGAACTGACACAAAATTCTTTGCAAAGGAACACTGCTCTGTAGAGGTATATGTGCATGTGTGTTGGTGACTTATAAGCTTTTAAAGAATATACTGAACAAATTACTGGCAACTTTATATAGGGGTACTTTGTTTTGTTCAGGTACAATTTCAAAGCACAACAATTATGTATATAACAAAAAGAATAGAAACCATTAAAACTTACTCAAGGCTTTAAGAATGTTCATAAAATGACATCCTAAGGTCAACTGTAGAAAACAAAACCACACATGTATAAACCCATGATAAAACCTACATGTGAAACAGCACCACAAATCAAAGTGTTCACCTCAAAAGATAATGCTGGGAAAAAATTCAGAGAAGTACAAACAGGTGCTGAGGAGGAGGGAAAAAATATGTGTGGACTTCAACTGGGGATAAAAGATCATAGTGAAGGAGGAGGAAGAGATAAGCAACGCTAAGAATATTTGAAAAAGCCATAGGGAAACTTGTTATAAGCTTGCTTACAGGTACATGCAGTGTGTGTGTGTGTGTATGTGTGTGTAGTTTTCATGGAGATATGTCTCATGGGGTGATAACACTCCTTGCAAAGTGTCATAAACTATCTAACAGAAACCCTTTGAGTTGTTGATCAGTGAGAGGTCAAGGGACCCCCCCCCCCAAACAATATAGGCCATTGTCACAGTCCTTGGTTGCCTCCTAGAAGTTGAAGGTAAGACCCTACTACTGAGGACACCACACACTTCAGACACAGGACTCGGAGGACTCAAGCTGGACTGCCTTGGAAGCCTCATCTCTAAGGACTAATAACTCTCACAGCATCTGAAGGTGCTACACAAGCTGGCCAAGGGAGAAAAGCTAGCAACAGTTCTACCTTGCTGTGGTGTATGATTGTCCTGGCAAGAGTTTCAGTGGTAAAATCATGGCACTTTCATCTTGAGGCTACCCAATAGCTGTCTAGTTGGATCTAAGACCCGCTCAATAGGAAGTAACTCAAGCCTGGTACTGTAAACCCAGCTAACTATCCCTGGTTGGGGAGATCACTGACTCTACAGGAGAAACTACTACTGTCATTTTCCTAATCCAGTATTGTTTCTAACTGCATTCTAAATACTTATCCTGATGCTCACAGATAATTAAAGCTCTCACCCCTCATCAAAGAAGCAGACAGAAGCTATTACAGAGGTCCACAACAGGGGGAAATGTAGGGAATAAGTGACAATGGAGTGCACAGTCTCATTCAGTACATCTACAATGAATACCTATACCTACAACTCAGTGAACACTGGGGCAGGTTGGGTCCAGAACATCTGCTACTAGAGAATGTCTTGCAGATACAACAGGGATGTTGCATCCATGAAGTCTCAACAATATGGTTTCCTAAATAAGACCTGCATAATGACACCATTAGTCAGCATGCCAACATGGATAGGGGAAATTTCCTAAGGCCCTACCCTTAGATGAAGAGTCCAGGCAATCAATGGCTGCTTAGAGAAGATGAAGCAGTTCTCCCTACGAGTGAGCTCCTTGATAGCTTATTCAATCCCAAGTGCTCAGCATGCATAAAACAGTAACACTAAATCAACTCAGCAGGGGGGGTGTGTGTAACTGTATAATTATATTAGAAGTCATGAATTTGAGGGACTGGGGGAATTGGAGGAGTTGGAGTAGGGGTGGGGGAGGTAATAAAAATACAGTACTCCTGTATAAATAAAAAAAAAAAAACAAGTAAATTTATCTTGAGGACCTTAAAAAGGGCTAAGACAAAGAAACAGATAAGAAAAGGGGATATTCTAGTCAGAGTATGAAATTGTAAAAAGCATGGACAAAATGAATAAAGTTAAATTCTGAAATACTTCAACTGGAGAGTATTTCTTTGATAGAAAAAAATACTCCTTCCAGGGACAAATGAAGTTTATCCCTCCTTTCAAGGAATATAAAAACTGGTTACATTTGTGAAAAAGGACACATGGATTAATCATATAAGAAGATTAAATGAGATTTATAGTATGTAGCCCAAGTTAGTATGGATCTCACCTACCTCCTTCCTAGGTCTCCAGTGCTGACACAACAGGCAGGCACTACCACACTCAGCTTACACTAGTCATTTTAACCTTAAAAGCTGTCAGTAGCTGTACTCCTTCTCAGTGGGACTGACAAACACTACATAAGTATTTAGTGAGGGATAGTAATTAGAACCCTTGAATATATCTGAATCGCTGTCTCTTGCTGTCAGTGCCTCAAGATACAATGACTCAAGTAAGTTAGTGAATACATAATAAGGCATTAAAGGAACAAAATAAATGTGTAGGGTATAGAGATACCCTGAATACTCACAGAGGCCATATACAACTTTAATGGTCAAATACAAATCCACTGATGATCAAGAACCACAAACCTAAGCCCTCAGAACACCAATGCCTTTAAAACAAGCATTATTGATAATGCTTATTTTTATTTTGTGTGTATGCTGGAAAATGAACTCGGGGCCTCACAAAATACCCCATCCTCAGGCTTTTTCAAAAATATATAAGGATGTTTAGTGATTCCAGAAAAAATTTAAACTTATAAATTATTTTAAACTAAAATTTTAAGGGCTAAATTGAAACAATATGAATAGTTTAAATGAGTATACTTAAGAAATACATAAAATGGGCTAGAGAGATGGCTCAGTGGTTAAGAGCACTGGATGCTCCTCCAGAGGACATGGGTTCAATTCCAAGTATCCAGATGGCAGTTTGTAACTGTTTATAACTCCTGTTTCAAAGGAGCCATTGCCCTCTTCTGGCCTCCACAGGTACCAGTGATGACAGTGGTATATAGACACACATGTAGGCAAAACACATATACAAAGAAAATAATGTTTAAAAATGACACAAAATGGACCAAGATTAAGATAATCTAAGACCCCAAAAGCTATGAAAGGCCAGAAGAGGTAAAAGAGAAGTAACTACAACATTATTAATGCCTCCACCCCCAGCCCCCCAAGACAGGGTCTTTCTGTGTAGCCTTGGATGCCCTGGACCTGCTTTGTAGACCAGGCTCCTCTTGAACTTGCCACAGTGATCTGCCTGCCTCTGCCTCCCTGAGTGCTGGGATTACAGAGGTGCACCACTGTGCCCCGTGACTGTATTCTTTGTATAAAGAAAACCCCCTCTTGAAGCTAGTTAATAACCATGATCCCTGTTATTTTAATGAAAATAATGTTTACTGCTTTTACTGGAATATACCAATGCTGTGATGAACAGGTTACAAAGATGATTTAAGATCTCCAAAATAATGTATTATTAATGCCTCCAAAATAAATATAGTCAAATGGAATCTTAAGATTTTAAACAACTAAAAATTGGGACGCAAAGAAAGGAGTCAAATGGAATTTAAAATCCTAGCAGAGAGAAGTACTGGAGAAATCTTTAGTAACCTTGTAGTATAGTGTTAAATATACCATACAATACTGTGTTAGACACTAAAAGGAGAAAAGGAAAATTGCTGAACCTGGCTTCTGGTCTGCTACACAGACATTCACGGGCACTCAGAAGGATGCTTTTTTGTTGTTCTATTAGCTGTTCTATCTGAAGATGCTGCTGAAATCAACCGGTTTTCGGCAAGCCGATGCTGTGAAGAGGCTGGAGTGTGGAGCCCCACAGCAGGTCCTGGTGACACCCGCACTGGCAGGCACAGTGTTGAAATCCTATACAGACTGAGTTCTCTCATTTTACCACAAAGCAGAGCTTCCACTTGTTTACTGAGAGGACAGCACACCCAGAGACAGTCCTCCCTTCTTGGTGGGAATCTTTCCATGCAGTCAAACTCTATGGTGTCTACAAATCCACAGCAGCAGCTCCTCTAACTGGTACTCTTTTCTAGTTCCATATCTTCCCATTTCTATTCTATACAACTGCCCAAGACACCTTTTGTTCAGTACAAATATGAGACCACCTTCCTTGAAGCAGCCTCCTCTGCTTCCCCTAAACCTCAGAACTCAGCTATAGGTCTAAAAGTTCTTTATCTTCCATCCTTTGTTTTCTTTTTAAAGTTGTCTGCTGTGTGCACTCTTCTGATCCTGAATTGTCTTTTTTCCCTGTAAGTATTTCCCATCTCTCTGACCTTTCTGTACAAAGTTGCTCCTCCAGGCTACCTGTCTCTAACATTCCTGA